TAGCAAACTGGCTACTAGATATCCAAAAAATATATATATATATTGTCTCTGGGTCAATCAGACTAGACAGACACAAACCCAAATTTGTACTTTTCCTGGAAAAAGCCAAACAGCTCCAGGACCAGGCCAAGCAGGGCTGGGATTTCTGGCCTGACATCTGGTCCCGGAAATCCTGGCTATGTCCTCTCCTTGGCCCACTAACTTCTGCAATCTTGATGCTTCTCTTTGCACCGTGTGTTTTTAATGCCCTTGTTCATTTTGTCTCTAACAGACTAAAAGCTGTTGAACTCCAAATGGTCATCAGGCAAGACTTCCAGCCCATTCCCCTGGATGACTTGAGCAGCACTCTGGACCGAGCAACACAGTCTTTCCAAGGCCACTGTTGCACACCATAAGACAGGTAGCAAGAGGAAATACCCAAATCCCCCTCGACGCCCACATGCCAGCTTTGAAGAAGTTACAGAAAACGGAACTCCATCCATAATCCCAAAGAAGAATTTTGGGTATTACCTCTTGAGGGAAAAATATTAGGCAGAAAGTCAGTTATGAGCTTATGTGTGTGTGACATAAAGGCCTAATGTGCCCAGCATATGCATCTGCATCTCAGTCGTCCTGACAATGTTTCTCGGGCAGCCCGGCCTTTACATCCTGCCCTGCCCCCTTCTACCTGATAACCTGCCAGGTGGAGATCCCCGCCCCTTCTGCCTGACAAATCTTCCACAATCTCCCAGGTGCAGCCCAGTATCTGCATTTCAGTATTACAGAACAGGCGGGGGTTGGATCTTATTTTCATGGGGGGGGGGGTGTTATGCGCGGCCCTAAAGGAAAAATGTTGTTTTTATGCTGACTGAACCCAGGTGGTTAGAAACTTCATGGCCAAACTCAAAAAAACAACTGGAAAAACGGCAACGGGAGAGGGAAACTCAACAGAAATGGTTTGAGTCATGGTTCGGCCGGTCCCCATGGCTTACTACCCTACTGTCAGCCCTAGCAGGACCCTTAATTGTTCCTAATTGTAACCATAGGACCTTGTGTGTTAAATAGACTCATCACCTTCATGCGGAAACAAGTTAAAAATGTTAAACTCATGGTCATAAAACAACAATATGTCACATTAAAAAAAAATAATCTCTAAGATTAGAGATCCTCACAACAAGGAGTGGGGAATGAAGAGTTAAAATTGTATATGTGCGGGTGTAAAAAGTTAAGCTTAAGCTTACAGGTTTAAACCTTCCTGGTGCAGCTGTAAAAATAAAACAGAGTGAAGTAGCACCTTGACAGTAGGGACTCCATTTTGGAGCACTTGAGACTGCATTCTGGGAAAGCAACCCCCCCACCGTGAGACTCTGGTCTGAAACTATGATCTCAAATAGTCGGACAATAGCAGTGCACTACATCACCCTTGGCAGAGCACAAAACCCCCTAGCATGATTGCTCAAGCTTAAAAGTAGAAAGGTTGCACCTGGGTTACCTGGGCTAATAATGAAGATGTGATTTGTCTATGTCTTAAGATCATAATTGCTGATTGTAAGACTTTAGCAACCGCTTAACAACCGTGTATTCTCTCCCCCCTTCCCGGTTTTGCGGTTTTTGCCTTTATAAACCCTGACCTTTGGTTATTCGGGGCTGCTCTGCTCATGATGATCAGACAGCCCCAGCATGCTGGATAATCAATAAAGCTTCCCCGTGCTGTCTGCATAAGAGACGTGTCTCTTGGTGACGTTTTTCGGGCGGTCGACTCTAACAAAACCCACCAGCATCTACTCCCACACTCAGCCTGGAGGCTGACAGCCAAAGGCACCCCTCACCACCTCCACACACAGCGATGTCCGACTCTGCCCCACCGTCCAGCTCAGGCAAACAGCTGGAACACGAACAGGCGTTTCACCCACGAAGTTTTCTCTGAATTCTCTTGCCTTGGTGTTTCCACCAGCTGGCACTGGGAATCTTATCCAATCCTAATCTAAACCTCAAACTGGGAGATCTGCCTTGAACCAAACCTCCAATTTCTGCCCTTCGGCTCACCTATGATAAAGCATTGCCAGGTAGCGTTATCTTATCAACAGCTTATGCTGGCTGCATTTGGAGCGCCAGTTTTTTTCTTTTAGATTGATTGATTTGAAAGGCAGAAACAGAGAGATCTTCAATCTGCCGTTTCATTCCCCAAATGGTAGCAAACGCCAGAATTGGGCCAGTCAGAAGCCAGGAGCCTCCTCTGGGTCTCACACGGGTGCAGGGGCTGCAACACTTGGGCATCTTCCACTGCTTTCCCAGGTGCACCAGCAGGGAGCTGGGTTGGAAGCAGAGCCCATGTGGGTCATGGCGTTGCAAAAGGAGGCCTAACCTTCCACACCACAGCGCGAGTGCGGATTTCTGAGATGAACACAACCCACAAGGAGCAGGCTAAATAATGTGGGTTATTTTTACGTATGTGTATGTGTGTTTTAGGATTTCTTCCCTGGCTTCCGTAGCCATTTTTATTTTAATTTTTCAAATTCCTAATTAGTTTTTAACAGATCCAATGTGATTTACAGATACAATTCTAAGAATACAATATTCTCTTCCTCCCTCCCCTAAATGTTTGCAGTCTGGGGGTATTCAAACAGCCTCAGCAACAGTGCTTGCCCTGGTACAGTGGAGCCTGAGACAACGAATCTTTAAAGTTCTATTTTATTCGCTCGATCTTCTTGGTATTTTTTTTAAGATGACTGCATTAAAACAGTATTTTTTTTAAAGGATCCTTGAGTTTTATGTCCGAGGGGGATGTCCCACTCAGTTTACACTATTCCCAGTACAGTTCTGTTACTAAAATAAGTAAAATAAAGCCAAGGGGTTAAGTCCGTTGTTCAACATGACAAGGGTAAATTATGCAGACGACAGAGGAGGTAGTGCGCGACTTTCATTATCGTGGCATGAAATCACAAGGTAACCGAAACGAACTCATGAGCAACAGCCTGTAAGTCATCAACTGGCAGTATTTTTCAGAATTACAACTAAAAACTCTGGTGGTGCGTGGGGACGCCCCCTTCCTGCCCTTGGAAATGCTCCCATACCAAGATTCTAAAACGCGGGCCTGGATCACTTTCGTGACCGCGACAGTAACAGCGAAACCAAACCAGCGCGGGTTCCAAGACCGGCCTACGGGCAGCACCGCCCTCGGCCTCACCCCAAAGCCAGGAGCTCCAAATTAGCCGGGCCGCGCCGGCCACCCGCGCCCAGGTCCCCGCCCCTGCGTGGCAAGGACAGCCTATTCTAGCAAAAGGTAACCGGAGTTACTCCGCGGCGCAACTGTGGCTCCGGCCTTCCCCCCCAATCCGGGATTCTTCTAGGACACACTCCCCTCTACTCCCGCCCTCATCTTAGCCCCAAAGCCGCCCTCCCATCACTTCCGGGTAGGACTCCGCGCTCGGACCCGGAAGTGGCAGGCGGGCAAGACCCAGGGCGCAAGCGCAGTCCCGCCTGTGCCTCGTTGTCCCGCCCCTTCCAAGTCTCCCGGCCAACCTGTTCCGGGCGTCGCCGGGGCTTCAGGTTCTCTTTCCGTCTCGCGTGATCACCTGACGGGGAGGGGCGGGATACCGGAAGCGCTTCACTCCCTCCCCCAGCTCGACAATTTCTCGACTTTCTGGGCTGGTGTCCCCCTCGAGGGGGTCGCTCGGGGTGGGGGTGGGGTCTCCCCTGACCGGCAGCGGGGACTGGTCTGCCCCGCGGCCTGCGGCGGGCGCTGTGGGAGCGGCGCCCACGCCTCAGCCAGTCACGCGCCGAGAGGCCGCGGCGAAGAAGGGGCGGGGCGGGGCGGGGCGGGGCGCTGCGTGGGGGCGGGGCCTCGCGCTGTCCCGGAGCGGCTCTTAGGGCCGGACCCGCGCTGACCCTGCGGACACCCGCCGCCGCCGCCGCCGCCGAGCCCAGCACTGCCCACCAGCTGCCACCATGAACCCGGACCTGCGCAGGGAGCGGGCCTCCGCCACCTTCAACCCGGAGCTGATCACTAACCTGCTGGACGGCAGCGCGGAGAATACCCGGCGCCGTCGGGATATCGCGACTGCGCGGTGCATTGCGTTCCGGGATCTGTTTGTGGAGGACTCTGCTTGGGAGGGGGCTCACACCCCGGGCGGGGGCAGCCGGCGGGTCCTTTGGCAGTGTCGCCGTCCGCGAGCCCCGGCTGCGGCCGGGGGCCGGGGGCGGCCGGCGGGCCCCCGGGGAGTGTCGCCGTCGGCGGCCGGGGACCGGGAGGCCCGTCTGTCCCTGTGATGTCCTCCGCCTCCCTTCCAGAGAGCTTGATCCTGAACGACCCCGACTTCCAGCACGAGGACTTCAACTTCCTCACGCGCAGCCAGCGCTACGAGGTGGCCGTCAGGAAAAGCGCCACCATGGTGAGGAAGATGAGGGAGTTCGGCATCGCGGACCCCGAGGAGATCATGTGGTTTAAGAAGTAGGTGTGCCCGCCGGCCGGGTGTTTTGTGGTTTGGGGGCCACTTTCAAGCTCAGTGTGTGGGAGACAGCGCCGGCTTCCGTGTGGCTGGGGTCTGCCGGTGTCCACCTCGGTCTCGCTAGAACGCTCCTTGGTCCCCAGCTTCTGCGTTTGTCCAGCGCTGTGAAGTGCGAAATGACTTCGCTTTTTGTCAGGGTACCTGCGTTTCCGAACCCGAAAGGTGTTTGTTTTTCCCCCAAGTTGCAACACCAAACCCTCTGTGTGTGTGGAGCAGGAGCGGATTCTGTTTTCGTGGAGTTGTGAGGATCTTGGGATTCCCACTTCTGGGAATACGTGGGCAGCGGGGAGGGGCTCAAGCCTCGGAGCGAACACCAGGCGTTCCGAGAACCCGGGGTTGTTGAGTCCCTGGCTGACTGAACGGCTGTCCCGGCAAAGTCAGGACCCCCCCCCCCCCCCCCACTGCAAATAAAAGCCGTCTACCCGATCCTGGGACACGGTCTCCGGCCTGTCGCGGCTCCTACACTTGCCATTGTTCCTGGGCCTTTCTACGTTTTAGGGGGACTCCTGTATCGCGAGCAGTGAGGATTCAGGCTGTGACTGCTGGATTTTCAAGAATGCAGACAAAGGAAACATGTTCTAAGTGCCGCCCTTGTGTAGTGATGCTTACTCCTTCCTTGTATGCTGCTCTGGCGCCTGGTGTCTGTTTCCAACTTGACGTGAATGAAACGGGTTATTTTGGACAGTAGGGCTCTCCTCAGACTGCACATCCAGTTTCAGTTATGAAGGCACTTGGTTGGTTGGTTGGTTGGTTGGTTTTTGGTAGCCCAGATCTGGAGAACTCACCAGCTTCCAAATGCTCTCTATTGTTTTTAGTTTGAAATTCATAGCTGTGGGGATATTGAGGTAGAGTAACTCTTAGAAGATTATGTTACTGAGTGACATGAGTTGGCTTTGAAAACTTTCAAAATTAGTAAGGTTTTATTCCTCAGGAAAAACAAGATGAAGAGGATTTTATTTTTGTTGTGTTTTTCTAAGTGGCTGATGCGTTGTGTTTCAGAGTTGGTAGCGACGATTTCCTAACCTCCGGTAGTTCATGTGTAACCAGAACAGGTGAAGTCACGGTGAAACAGAGCAGAGTCCTCCGTGCGGGTTAAAGGTCTGTGGACACCAGCCAGTTTTGTGGATTATTTTTCGTGTGGCGTCTTAAAGTACAAACTCTAACACACCCTTTGACATCTCTCCAATGTCCCTAAGTTGTGATAGGGAGATCAGTTCAAGCTAGAGATGAGGATTGAAAATTAATCTTGGCAAGTACTGCGCATCTGAGCCTGGTTACACAATCCCATCAGCGTTGCAATCCCGTAGGTAATAATGCAGCAGTGTTTTGACTGTGACTCAAAAATAATGGGACAGGAAGCTGTGACTTATCAGTAATTGTGAAGTACACTGGATTTCTTACTTGTTAAAATGGGGCAGGATGCTGGAATTGACATAACAGCAAGATTTCTGTAATTTTTGGTATTTACGCCTTTTATATCAATTTCTCTTATCACAAAATAAAATTATTTATTTATGAGACTGTTTTGAAGTTGGCTGAATATTAGAACATAACTTAGAGATCTCTTTTTTTTTATTTTATTTATTTAGTTGAGAGAGTTACAGACAGGGAGAGGGAGAAGCAGAGAAAAATGTCCTCCATCCACTGATTCACTTCCCAAATGGCCGCAAGGGCCAGAGCTGAGCTGATAAGCCAGGAGCGAGGAGCCTCTCTGGGTCCCCCACGCTGGTGCAGGCACCAAGCACCTGGGCCATCTTCCACTGTTTCCCCAGGCCATTAGCAGAGAGCTGGATCAGAAGTGGAGCAGCCGGACTCAAACCAGCGCCCATATAGGATGCCGCTATTGCAGGCAGCCGCTTTACTCACTACACCACAGCCTGACAACCCCTCATTTTGGAAAAGAACATATCTGGGGCCGGCGCCATGGCTCACTTGGTTAATCCTCTGCCTGTGGCACTGGCATCCCATATGAGCGCTGGGTTCTAGTCCCGGTTGCTCCTCTTCCAGTCCAGCTCTCTGCTGTGGCCCGGGGAGGCCGTGGAGGGTAGCCCAAGTGGTTGGGCCCTGCACCCACATAGGAGACCAGGAGGAAGCACCTGGCTCCTGGCTTCAGATTGGCGCAGTGCTGACCGTAGCAGCCATTTGGGGTGAACCAACGGAAGGAAGACCTTTCTCTCTGTCTCTCTCTCTCACTGTCTAACTACCTGTCAAATAAAAAAAAAGTAATAAAAAAAAAAAAGAAAAAGAACATATCTAGTGGCCTTTGTTGTGTCCCACGTGTTTCACTGTTTCCTTGGATGACTTTATAAACCTCAGAGTGCTTTACTGAATTACTCAGCCTTCTCAGTTCCCTTTAGGGAACACAAGTGTCTTACATTTCTACCATTTTTAGTAACTGAATTACAGGGTTTTTTTCCTCAGAAGTGCATAGGAAAAGAAATAGGGAATGGGTTAATACTGCTGGTTTTAGTAAGAAAGGCTTGGTGTGTGGTGCTATGCTGTTGTTCCCTTTGAGTTATGATGCCTGCGTTTCATCACTCCTCGGGCTCTTGGTGCCTGCTTCAGTGAGACGTGTGTTCTGTGGAGTATGCGACTTCTGTCCTAGAGGAGCCGTAGCAGCTACGTAGGAGACTAACTCACTTCTTCTGTTCACATTCTCCTTTCTCTTCTCTCCCTGTAGTTTAACCTTTGATTTAATGTAAAAACCATAGACCTTCGGGTCTAAAAGGCGTCACCGGTGCTGCCTTCTCAGTATCTCCGGGATGGCTAGAGAGTCTGTCCCTGACGTCTCCGAGGAGAGATTTCCTTCCTAAGCCAAGCCTGCCAGCACTGCAGCAGAGAGAACATTTTCGTGGTGCTAGTGAGCAGCTTGTCCTGCTTTCATGTGACCTAGGGCACAGAGGTCGTTCCCTCTGCTCCAGCCTAATGAGTGAAGTAATTCAGTTTGTTAATTGGAAATGTTCATATCTAAGAACATACATGGAGAGAGTGTGCAAGTGGATTATGATTTGCATGAGGTACAAATGGGAGGTTGGTGTGAGCTTATTTTGGAAACAGGAAAATGAGGGCATACTGTGTCTGCTGCTGTGGTTTTTGTCCTTAAGATTTACTTATTTATTTGAAAGGCAGAGTGACAGACAAATCCTCATCTGCTGGTTCGCTGCCCAAATGGCCACAACAGCCAGGTCTGGGCCAGGCTGAAGCCAGGAGCCAGGAACTCCCTCCTGGTCTCCTACGTGGGTGACAGGGGCCTAAATACTTAGGCCATCTTCTGTTGTTTTCTCAAGTGCATTGGCAGGAAGCTGGACAGGAAGTGGCACTCCAGTGTGGAATGCTGGCCTGGCAAGCGTGGCTTTACCTGCTGTGCCACACTGCCTGCCCCTGCTGTCTCTTAGGTTGTAGCACAGTTTCAGGGCCTCCCCATAAGAAGGACAGCCTGCCCCTTCCTCCCCTAATCCATGCCCTGCTTCTTGTACAAGCCAAGTTAGACTGGTGCTGACACTGCTTCTAAGTCATCCTGTTAGAAGTCATGAAGACCAGTTATATGGGATGCATTTTGTACTTTAAGCCGTCTTTTATTTTTATTATTATTTTAAAATGTATTTAAAAGGCACAGTTACAGAGAAAAGCAGAGATGGAGAGAAACCTTCCACCCGCTGATTCCCTCCCCAGATGGCCACAACGGCCAGGGCTGGGCCAGACTGAAGCCAGGAGCTTCCTGCAGGTCTCCCCTGTGGGTGCAGGGGCCCACGCACTTGGGCCGTCCTCTGCTGCTTTCCCAGCACGTTAGCAGGGAGCTGGATGGGAAGTGGAGCAGCCGGGACTGAAACCGGCGCCCACGTGGGATGCGGGCACTGCGGGCGGTGGCCTTACCTGCTGTGCCACAGCGCCAGCCCCTGTGCTCTGAGCTCTTTAGATACACACTATGTGAAAGCACAAAACAGACCCCTATAAAACCTCCTGGTGCAGAATAGCCAAGGGCGACCTCTGTGTTTTAACCATTTTATGGGTTCTGTCTTATGAGAAGATGGTTGAGGACTGAATTTCAGTGTAATCAATGTTCCCTGACCGCTGGGATAAATCGTCAGCACGCCCACGCCACTGCCGCCTGCGTGAGCCCTGAAGAGCTTTGGAGGTCTGTGATCTCCCGTGGAGCATACATGTCCCCTTCCGCATGGAATGCCTGGGTCACCTGTGGAAAGCTAGTCTTCATTATTCTTCTTTAGGAACTTTTGTTAACAGCTCTACAGATAAGTATTCTGTGGTGGTCTTTTGATTATCAAAGCAAGGAAAACCTAAAAATAAAGCAAAAATTTAAAAAGCCACACACTTAAAAATCACACCAGTCAAACCAGCAAGTAATACCAGTAAAACCAAAAATAAAAGGGGCTTTTAAGCCAAAACTTGGGTGGCATTTGTTTCCTGGATTAAGTGTAGAATTTAAAAAAGAATACTGATTAGAGGGAGAATAAATACCACCAGGTCCTGCTGTTGGCTTTTTACATAGTAAAATGGTGAATTTTATTTTATTTAAATTTAATTTCACAAGAAAGAGGTCTAAATTTTCCCTGACCTTCACCTGGAGGGCCACGTCTGCTTGACCAGAGCTGGGGCCGTGTGCAGTTTCCAGAGTAAGGCTGAGACCCTTTTCTTTTCTCTCCTGTAGACTACAGTTGGTCAATTTTGTGGAACCTGTGGGCCTCAATTACTCCATGTTTATCCCCACCTTGCTGAATCAGGGCACCACTGCTCAGCAAGAGAAATGGCTGGATTCATCCAAAGGACTCCAGATAATTGGCACCTACGCCCAGACGGAAATGGGCCACGGTTAGTCCACAGCCGAGGGTCCGTGGGTAACCCACCTCAGGACTTCCGTTAACACTGACTCCTGGCATTTGATTTTTTTATTGCTACTACATATTTTGGATATTATTTTTAAATT